ACCCGTTTTTTTTGGGGGGGGGGGGGGCGCCAAGGCCCAACGCACACGCTGAGCTTGAACCGGGGAGGAAGATGAACCAGGCGAAACAGAACGAGAAGGAGAGCCCAGCAGTGACGCTCAGGAAGCAAACAGCGAGGACGTAGGCCGCCAGAGTGAAGAAGGGTCACAACATGACTTCAACATGGGTTCTCGCATTTCCTTCCGGCTCCACTCGGCCCGCCGCAGCACACCTTCAGTCGCCACGGCGCAGCGCAGACCCGAGGAAACACTTCTCTGTCGACACCTGGCCCCAGAAGTGGCCCTTCTGGAGAGCCTGGCCACGAGGGCATGGCAAGATTGTGCATGCAGTCCCTCGATATCACCCAACTGTGCAGTCCCCGCGAATCTGCTCTTGTCGATGGGCCTCGGTGTCGGCGAGATCTGCTGGGAGCAGGACGCTCCCGCCTCACGGCCGGCCGTTTCATGCTTCCCCCCCTCCGCGGCTCCACCTCGCCATCCGCACTGCGACCCCCTCGGGTGGAGAAGAAAAACAGTCCTGCCGTTAGCAGCTCCTGCCGGATCGGCACAACCCTGTCAGGGGGACGTAAGACCTGGGTGCAGGGGACTCGGACATCCCCGACGAAGTCGTCAAAAAAATGACGAGGCCGAACCTGCATTTTGACGAGGCCTCCCGCTGCAGACATTCCACGAAACTCCTCCTCGTCAAAATCCGAGGCGCGGTCGTTTCAAAAACGATGGCGAAGCCGAGGCCTGGCAAACCCGGGTCTTGCGCTCCCCCGACCCTGGCGTGGGAGAGGCCGAGCTCGGCCGCGGCGCAGAGCTCGGCAAACGCCCGGCTCCGCACGGAGCAGGGCGGGGACGGTGATATGCAGCCGCCCCCCACACGAGCGCCCGCGCGTCGCAGGCCGCCACGTGCATGCCCAGGGCCTCGGCTCTCGTGGTGAGGTCGCAGAGCTCTGACTAAAATTTAGGACTGGAAAAACGCCCCTACCCTGGGTTACAAGTGCGTGGTCTGTAAACCTCCTGGGAATCCCCAAAGCCTAGAACCGCCAGGACGCGGCACGTCACGCAGGGTTTACCCTGTCAGCCCGCAGGAGTTTCAGCGCACAGCGCCTCATAAACCAGGGTAGGGGCGTTTTTTACGCCCTCGATAAAAGCACTGATACTGTTCGCGACCACGTCCGTAACCGCCTCCTCGACGCAGGCATTGCACGCCATGCCGTCAACGGATGGAGGCGAGACTTCATGGGCTGCCAGCTCATCCATGCGAGCCTCGAGCAGGCCGAACTCGCGCACGACGGATGGGAGAAGGAGGCTCGGAGGGGGAGGACGAGGATCGAAGGAGGGGGGTGGAGGAGGAAGGTGGATCATGGATGAGGGGGGTCGAGCAGGAAGAGGGTCGGGGGGCCGGGGAGGGTAGATAAGGCGAGGAAGGAGGAGGAGGAGGAGGAGGACGTGCGGGCGCGGGGGCAGAGTCCTCTAGATCTAAGACGACGAGGAGGGGGAGGACGCTGAGGAGGAATCCCTGCAGGCCTCCTCCTCGTCCTCCTTCTCCTCTCCCCAGTCTTCCTCCCCAACCTACCTTCTCGTCGTCCTCCTTCTCCTCTGAATGTAATCCAACTCCTCCTCCTCCTCCTCCTCCTCCTCCTCCTTCTCCTCCTCATCCACTTAATCCAGCTCCTCCTCCGCCTCCTCCTCCTCCTTCTCCTCCTCTTCCTCCTACTCCTCCTCCCCCTCCTCTTCCCACACCATCCCGCCCCTCCTTTCCTTCTGAGTTCCTTCACACTCCCCCTCTACTCTCCCATCTTCCCTTCCAATGTTCTCAGGAGGCCTTCAGGAGCGAAAGAGCGTCGAACCTACCAAACAAACTTCAATTCCCGAACCTCAAAAACAACCACGGCGGCGGCGGTGACGGCGACGGTGACCCCGCGGACGACGACGACGACGACGACGACGACGACGACGACGACGACGACGACCACGACCACGACCACGACGACGACGACGACGACGACGACGACGACGACGACGACGACGACGACGACGACGACGACGACGACGACGACGGCGGCGGCGGCGGCGGCGGCGACGGCGACGGCGACGGCGACGGCGACGGCGACGGCGACGGCGACGACAGCGGCGATATCGACGACGACGACGACGACGACGACGGCGACGGCGGCGGCGGCGGCATCGGCGATGGCGACGGCGACGGGACCACCAGGCGGTGCCCCGCCACGCGGCCGAGCGCGAAAAGGTCGCCGTAGACGTCGAAGCAGCGGAACGTGACGAGCCGCGCGCCTCGGCCGCAACGGCCGCGCCGCAGGGGAAGCGGGAGGAGGATCGAGGAGCGGGAGGGGCGATCGGTATGGCTACATGCCGCTGCGCCTGCCACATGTCTGCGGTGGTCTGGGAAGGATCCATACACCTGCTCCCTCTGCCGCCAAAATCCATCCACGCCGCTGCTCCTGCCCAGTGGGTAAGAGATCCGGCCTCTGGAAACCCCGAATGCTTGTTCCCCGCCACTCAGAGTGCGTGGCTTCGGCGGTTATGGATCGGACGCCGATGGCCGAGGGAAGGAGAATCAGAAGGGCGTCAAGCAGGTGGAGGAGGAGGAGGAGGAGCAAGAGGGGAGGTCGGCCACAGGGTGGGGACGGATCGGCCACAGGCAGGGGTGGGAGCGGTGGCGATATCGATGACGACGACGACGACGACGACGACGACGACGACGACGACGACGACGACGACGGCGACGACGACGACGACGACCACCACGGCTGCAGCCGCAGGCCACATTAGGGCGGCCGGCGTCGGGCCTCGTCGCAGTGCCGCCCGCCCGGAACACGGACGCCCATCCCCTCGTCTGCGGGGGGCCCGGAGCGGGTGCCGCCGCGCAGCGACCTCAACGAAGAGGCAGCCGACACAATCGTCGGGGTCCACCAACGGGGGGGGTGAACTGCCGCAGACCGATGCCCCACCCCCGCATGCCCCACCCGTCGGCAACTGCCGGGCGCTGCCGGCGGCTGGGGGGGCACCTGTTTGGCGCGGCTCGCTGCAGAAGCCGATCGAACCCTCCCACACACACACACTCACACACACGCACACTCACAAACAAACAAACACAAACAAAAAACATACACACGCACACAAACAAAAACACACACGCACACACACACACACACACACGGGGCACACACACCCTTGGCGGGATGCCGGAATCGGCCAAGGGAGCCTGCGCTGCACGACGTGACGCCGTCGCAGCTGCACAGTCAGAGCCCGCGCTCTCTCGGGGGGCCCTCCCCGGTCGGGGGAGCCCAAAGAGGGCCCCGGCCCTGGCCCCGCGGGCGCTCGGGAGCCGCGAGGGGCGCCCGAAGGGAGAGCGCCCGAGGACCTCGGCAACTGAAGGGGCTCTGGGGCACACAAAGGGATACACACAGATAACGGGATTCCCCGTATGTTCCCATATGTTCTGGGCTGTTGTCTTCCCCCCCACTGCCCATGTTTTCCCACATGTTCTGGGAATCGTCGATGAATCGTGTCTGTGTTGTTTTCCCTCCTGAGAGACCCCAAGCCCCGTCCGAGCCCACTGTAATCTGGCGGCGAGCGCGGGGGGGACGTGAGAAGGGGCGGGCCTTCTCAGAAGGCCCGGAAGTCCCCTAGCCTTCTGAGAAGTTTCCTGGGCCTTCCCCGAAGACAGAAGAAACCTCTCAGAAGGCCCGAGAGCTTCTGCGAAGTCCCGCCGCCTTCTGAGGAGGCCTCCTCCTTCTCACTGCCCCCCCTCGCTCGCCGCCGAGTGATCCTTGAGCCAGAATCCTGACCGCACTTCCCTGCAGCGGCAGGGACATGAGCCGAAGGAGCAGAGGGAGGAGGCTGGGGGTGAAGACGACGACGAGGACGAGAGGAAGACGGTGGCACAAGGGGGTAACCAAAACTGGAGCGGCGAAGGTCGCAGGAGAGGGTGGAGGGCCTCAGGAGGACGAGTGTGGCGGGCATGCCGAAGGGCTCGGTGAGAAGCCGCCGGGACATCGGGGCTCGACTTTGTCGCGCGCTTTGCCAATCTGCCGAAGCTCCACCTCGCTACGCCGAGTCGGCGCGCCAGGCGCACCCATGCGCGCACGGGCGTCCACAATGCCGCGGACGTCCAAGACAGATCGAATCGAACAGAATCGCTGCATCCATGGATCAGATCGGATTGTGGGCGCCCGTGCGAAGCAACATGTACCGCGTGAGAGATCATAAACAAAATGTCTCGAACAATCAGTCAACGAATGCAGGCGCCGGGACGAGGCCGCGCTTGCGCCCGTGTGCTCCCAGAGGGGCAGCAATCGAAGACGCAGCCCACGGAGCATGACCCCCTAGTCTCTGATTTCCAGTTTGGTTCGTCCCCCCTCTCCCGACGCTAGCCTCTTGCAGCGCCCGTCCGTGGGCGTGCGCAAAGAACAGCTAAATGCTGCCCTGAAAAGACCCTCTTAAAGTATGGAGCGAGTTGCCGCTGTCAATCTTGAAACACAAGTGCGCCAAAAAAGGGCAAACCCATGATTGGCGCCGCGCACAAGGGCGTTGTACGAGGGGGCTGGTCTTCCAAGAGGAAGGCTGTTTGTTTCTTTCTTCTTTTTCTTGAAAGAAAAAAGCCGAGGCCTTCCCAGGAGGGCTCCCGGGCTTCTCAGAAGGCGTCGTGAAAGACGAGGGGGCTTCTGGGAGGCCCCCGGCCTTCTCAGAAACCCCAAATTCTGCACCTCCGCCGCCTGGGAAGCCGATGTCCTGGGGCCCCAGGTGCTGGTAGATCTGTGTAGCTTCGAGGCCCTGCGGGGGATGCCAAACAGATGCATTCCAGATCCGCTGCCTACCGGGGCCCAGGGACATCGGTTCCCCAGGAAGTGGATGTGTCCAATTTCAGACCTCGGACGCACCGTTCCCCTCATTATCCCCCCTCGCCCCTCACACACCATCCGCGCGTGCCAGAAAGGATGGCCTCTGGGGCTCAGGCTGCGCGCGCTCACTCATGCCAGCGAGTTGGCCTCCGCGTACTTCAGCCCAGTATCGACCTCGCCCTTCAGCTGCGTCTTCACCTCCTCCAAGCGCTTCGTCTCGTGCTCGTTGAGCTCCCCGAGCGGAAGCACCTTCTCAATCCCGGTAGGGCCGAGGATCACCTTCTGTGCAAAGTAAGGGAGGTCCGTGACCGTGGACGCGCAGTAAGCACACTCCGTGCGCTTCCTCCCGGAGAGGCCCGAGAGGATCGCGGAGCCGAACCGGGCCCCCGCGTACGCCATGGAGAGCGTGGCACTGCCCTTGCCGTTCTTTGCGTTCACTACGTCGGTGCCGGCGTCCTGCACGTGCTTGTCCATGTCTGGCACCTTCTCGGCCGGCAGCAGCTTGCCTGCCTTGTCCTGTGAAAAGACAGGCAGGATGGTCGCCCCAGCGTGGCCACCGATCACCGGCACGTTGATGAAGTTCGGGTTCTTGTTCGTCTCCTCGCCCACGAACTTGTTGGCACGAACGACGTCCAGCGTCGTGACGCCGATGATTTTCATGGGGTCCAGGCCCTTCTTCTTGTAGAGCTCCGCCATGGCGGGCACGATGGAATTGACGGGGTTGACGATCATCGCCAAGACGGCTTCGGGGCAGTACTTGGCGCAGGCCTCGACAATGCCCTTCGCGATGTCCGCGTTAACCTTGAAAAGGTCGTCGCGGGTCTGCCCAGGCTTGCGCGGCAAGCCTGCAGGGATGAGTACGAGGTGGGCCCCCGTGAGAGGCTCCTCCATGAAGTTCACCGGGGGCTCGTTCACCTTCCCGACGTACCCCTTCACCGTGCACTTCCTCTCGAGGTGGATCAAGTCCTGCGCCACGCCGGCTGGTGGCATCGGAGAGATGTCCAAGTCGTAGATGCAGAGCTCCTTGACGTTCCTGTCCATCGCCATCAACATGGCCATCGGCTGCCCGATTCCGCCGCAGCCGCCGCACACCACGACCTTAAAATTCCCAGAAGGCTTGGTCTCCTTCTTGGCCTTAGCCTTGGCCTTCACCTTCGCCTTCGGTTCCGCCTTGGCCTTGGCCTTCACTTTCGCCTTGGCCTTAGCCTTAGGCTCCGCGGCCTCGGCCTTGGCCTTGCCCTTGGTCTTCGCTTTCGTCTTGGCCTTTGGCTCGGCCTCGGCCTTAGACTTCGACTTGGCCCTCTTTGCAGGCTTGCAAGTCTCCCAGTAGGCATCGATCTCCTTCTTCTTGTACTTCCCCTTGTAAAACTGGCTGAGTTCGTCCCAGGTGTACGCAACGCCGTCCTCAGGGTCCACCCGCTTCTCCGCCATGGCGAGAGGAAAGCGCAACCGTCACGGCGCGGCGCGCAGCAAGGGTCAGGCTGCAGGATGTGGTGTAAGCCGCCCAGGCTGCTGAGAAGCAAAGCCGAAGGGCTTGAGTTTAGATGGCTGGGGATGGAGGCAAGGCTGAGAACGTGGCAGGCCGTCCATCGACGGATGCGGCGAACTCCACGCCTGCGAGGGAAAAGGAAACAGCGAGGGGGCTGCCATCCCCGCGCCTGCGCCCTCCGAGCTCCATTGGCCCGAAGCCTTCCTCCAGACGGGCGCACGCCCGTGCCTGGGAGCACTGCGCGCGAGGCGGCGGGCGTCGGCACTCTGCCGCTGCTCCATCGTTTTGGCACCCGGGCGAAGCCGGGTTGGATGACAGCAAGGAACACAGAGGGGCCCAGGAACACACGAACCAGTAGACACGAATCCCAGGATTCCGCATGTTTCCACATATTTGCTGGGCGTTCGCCTCACCCCCCGCGTCCCGTGTTTTCCCAGATTTCCCTGGGCGTCGATTACTTCTGCCTGTGGTCTTCGCTCCCAGAAGCAGTAGGCACAGCATGAGGTGAACATCCACGGCTGTGAATCGTAGCAGGAGCCACGCGTGCAACTTCCGGAGGCCACGCGCGGGATACGCACGCGGAGGCCTGGCCTAACTATGGCCGTAGAGGGGCCAGGAGCTGGAACAACATCCAGACACATGTGTATCCGGCTCTCACCCAAGCCAGCCGTGTCACGTGAATCCACCTTCCCCTGGCGGCGCGCACGAGGGGGTGGAGGGAGGGGGGAGGGCTTCTTAGAAGAAGGCTGCTTCTTAGAAGGCGCCGGCCTTACACCTATCGATAAGGCCCGCGCCTTCTGAGCAGCAGGGGTGCTTCTAAGAAGCCCTCCCCCCTCCCCCCACCCCCCTCTGCGCGCGGCTGAGCCCTGGCAAATCAATTCCAGCTATGGGTATGCCGTCTGCCTTACTGGCGTGTGGATGAAAGGACCCGCGCGACCACGTCCGCAGACCCCTTGGGGTTCATCGGCGTGTGAGATGCCTCCCCGTCCCAAGACCCCTTCCCCGGGAACCATGTCCGGTCGATTCGGGGGAGGGGGTTCTCCCGGAACCAGTTGAACGCGCCATGGAGGGGCAGGGCCCCAAGACAAGCCAAGAGGGTCTCTGGACGATCCAGGAGGGCCACGAGTCGTGGAAAGATCGATCCAAAACGTCAAGCTGGCTTCCAGACGGCCCAAGTAGGCCCCCAAGACGCACCAAGAAGCCCCCGACAGGCGTCACAAGACGGCCTCCAAGAAGCTTTCCAGATCTCTCCAAGACGGCAACAGAGGCCCCCAAGAGGGCTCGCAGATGGCCCAAGAGGGCGCCAAGACCGCTCAAGAAACCTCCAAGACGGCCCAGGGGGGGCCCCAGGACAGCCCCAAGAGGGACTCAGAGGGGGAACCCGACAGACATTTCGAGCCTTCGACCCCAAGGCGCTCCCTGGTTGCCCCAAGAAGCTCCCAACAGGCCCCCAGGGAGCTCCAAGAGGCTACAAAAAAACACCCTAGAGGCACCCAGGGGGCCCCCAACAGGTTCAAAAACTGCCTCCCAATGACCTTGAAACGCCTCCCACGAGACCCCATCTGCTATCCGAGTGGCCTCAGGCCCGCAGCCCAAGCACGGTGGCAGGATGTGCCCAAAGACATTCCACATGCGTGCACGGCGAACTCTGAACATGCCAGCCGCAAAAATCACTACTGCCGGTGCGGGCGTTGCTGCAATTGCCTGGGGCCCCGGGAGAATCCTTCGCGAGCACGCAGTAGACTGACCAAGAGGGCCTCGACACGCCCCACATTTCTCGCCAAGACGCCCACTGCGGCTACAAAACGTAGATAGCATCGAGACGGCCCTCGACCCCAAGGCGGCCCAAGAATCAGCCAGCGGTGCGTCGGGGGCATGAGTCCTTGTTTTCCTACGCGCAATTCTAAGAGAGGTATCGTTCCTACCCTAATCGACGTCGCCTCAAAGACTAGTCCACGGGCACTCCATTCCCGTCCCATCAGATTATTTCCCTCTCATGTCCCCTTGAAACAGCTCCCCGCCAAGCTTCTCCTGAGCATCATCCCGACAAAATGTTTGTGACGAGTTCAGCTCCTGCGACCAAGACCATCTCGCGATCTACACGAATCCAAAGACTACGCGACTACGCCCGCAAACAATATCCCACCAGCCCTCTGGGCGTCGGTTGGTTGGGTCAGGGTGGTCTTGCTTTCAAACCCGTTCTTCCCCTTTGGAAAATGATACCCCCTGCTCCGCAGTCATAGACACCACCCACTCGACTGGCGGCCGACCCGAAGCAAAGACGACCCCCCCCCAGGCCAGTCACAATACAATAGAACATGCATTTTGCGACATAATCTGGATCATCTTCGGGCGTTCCGCCATCATTGTGTATTGCTAATGTACACGACGGCGAGGGGCGTCATGCCACGTACCCCGTGTGCGCAGGTCCACCATCCTTCTCAAAAACACTGCAATGCGCACGTGGCGGCAAAATCCGCTGACCCCTTGGGGTGTCATCAGCGCGTGACATGCTTCCCCTTCCCCCAACCCTTTCCTCCAACGCCGGGGTTGGTCGATTCGGAAGGAGGGGAACCCGCCCGGATCACCCAGGCCCGGCCCGACCGCTTGGGAGGATAGAGGGTCCCACAACGGTCCAAGAGGGCCCCAAGAAGCCCCCAAGACGGTCCAAGAGGGCCCCGAGTCGCCGAAACATCTCCCATGATGGCCAAGATGGCCTCCTGACATCCCAAGACGCCCCCAAAACGCCCCAAGAGGCCTCTCAAAGCCCTCCCAAAAGGGCCCCAAGAGGCAAGACTCATCGATTGGGAATTGGTTGTTGAAAGATCTTAGCGTTCTCGCATTTTCGGTTCCCCTACGCTCCACGACGTCCCTCCCAAGATACCCCCCGACGGGCCCAGACGGGCCCAGAGGCCCCCAAGAGGGCCCCTGAACGGTCAAAAGGGGGCCCCGCACGGCCCCAAAGACGGCCTAAGAGGCCTCCAGCATGGCCCAAAAGAGCTTCTAGACCGCCCCATGAAGGGCCCCCAATGGGAACCCGAGCCCACATTTCGAGCCTTCGGCCTCCACGAGGCTTCAAGAGGCCCCCCAGAGACTCCCATGAAGAGAGCCCAAAGGGGCACCAAGAAGCCACCAAAAGGCGCCAAAGAGGCCTTCAGGAGCAACGCGCCGCAACCGCCAGTCCCTCAAGGGGTCGGCGGTGCGGCGTAAGCCCAAGAATCCACGTCCGGAGGTGACGTGCTGAGCGGCAGCGTTTTTTCGGCGAACTCCTTAATGCAACGTATCCAACGTATCCAATGATTGCATAATTGCCACATATTGCATTGTGTTACATTACTATGTCCCCCCCCCTAACCCCCTTTGAGAGCCGCGCCACAGCGCCGTACCAAAATGGTCGCCCCTCTTTGTGGGGCCCCAAACCTACTAAAACCTATGACAAATCAGCAAATTCGGCCCCTTGGGCCTCTGGGGAGGGACTCCAAGAGGGCCTCAAGGTGGCCCCAAGACGGCCCAAGACGGCCCGAAGACGGCCCAAGATTTTCCCAACGGGGGCCCATGAGGCCCCCAAGACGGCCCCAAGAGGGCCCCCAAAACCCCAAGGACGGCCCAAGAGAGCCCCAAGAGCGCCCACAACTGTGCCTCCAGAGGCCAGAATCATTGATTGTCCTATGGTTTCTGCGATATTTTAGCGTTCTCGCCTTTTTCGACTCTCAAAAATCCATGACGGCCCAAGCAGCTTCCAGAATCGCCCCAAAACGCACAAAACAAATGGCCCCAAGACGGCCCAAGAGGACCCCAAAACAGTCCAAAGAGGCCCTCAAGACGGTCCAAGGGGCCGCGAAGACGGCCCAAGAGGACCCCAAGAGGGCTCCAACGCGGCCGCGAAAGGCCCCCAAGACAGCCTCCGAGGGGGCGAAACGGCGCAAAAGCACCCCAAGACGCCCCCAAGAGGCCCCAAGAGGCCCCGAAGAAGCCTCCAAGAACTCCCCCAGAAGCCTCCAAAAGGCCCCCAAAAAGCCCCCCAAAGGCCACACAGCGACTGGAGTGTAATGCTATTTTCCCCCCTCTGGGCGAACTGCGGCGCAGCGCCAGCCAGGTGGAAGTTGGTCACTGCGGCGCCCATGACTAGAGCCGGCGCTGGAAGGGAACATGGGGAGGGTGTATGAAAAGGAGGGAGGGGGGAAAGGCCCCAAAGAAGCCCCCAAGAGGCCAAAAGAAACTCCCAGGAGGCCTCCAGGAGGCCCCCAAGAGGCTCCCAAGAGGTTCCGCGACGACGTGACTGTATGTGCTCCGGACGTGCACCCCGCGAAGCGAGAGGAATCCACGTCCGGAGGTGACGTGCTGAACGGCAGCGTTTTTCGGCGAACGCCTTAATGCAACGTATCCAATGCATCCAATGATTGCATAATTGCCACATATTGCATTGTGTTACATTACTATGTCTCCCCCCTAACCCCCCTGGGAGCCGCGCCACAGCGCCGTACCAAAATGGTCGCCCTTCCTTTTGGGGCCCCAGACCTACAAAAACCTATGACAAATCAACAAATTCGGCCCCTTGGGCCTCTGGGGACTCCAAGAGGGCCTCAAGGTGGCCCCAAGACGGCCCAAGACGGCCCGAAGACGGCCCAAGATATTCCCAACGGGGGCCCATGAGGCCCCCAAGACGGCCCCAAGAGGGCCCCCCAAACCCCAAGGACGGCCCAAGAGGGCCCCAAGAGCGCCCACAACTGTGCCTCCAGAAACCGGAATCATTGATTGTCCTATGCTTGCTGCGATATTTTATCGTCCTCGCCTTTTTCGATACTCAAAAATCCAGGACGGCCCAAGCAGCTTCAAGAATCGCCCCAGAACACCCCAAAAAAAGAAAAACCCTAGATGGCCCCAAGACGGCCGAAGAGGGCCCCAAAACAGCCCAAAGAGGCCCTCAAGACGGTCCAAGGGGCCGCGAAGACGGCCCAAGAGGACCCCAAGAGGGCTCCAACGCGGCCGCGAAAGGCCCCCAAGACAGCCTCCGAGGGGGCGAAACGGCGCAAAAGCGCCCCAAGACGCCCCCAAGAGGCCCCAAGAGGCCCCAAGAGGCCCCGAAGAAGCCTCCAAGAACTCCCCCAGAAGCCTCCGAAAGGCCCCCAAAAAGCCCTCCAAAGGCCACACAGCGACTGGAGTGTAATGTTATTTTCCCCCCTCTGGGCGAACTGCGGCGCAGCGCCAGCCAGGCGAAGTTGATCACTGCGGCGCCCATGACTAGAGCCGGCGCTGAAAGGGAACATGGGGAGGGTGTATGAAAAGGAGGGAGGGGGGAAAGGCCCCAAAGAAGCCCCCAAGAGGCCAAAAGAAACTCCCAGGAGGCCTCCAGGAGGCCCCCAAGAGGCTCCCAAGAGGCCCCGCGACGACGTGACTGTATGTGCTCCGGACGTGCACCCCGCGAAGCGAGAGGAATCCACGTCAAGACTGCAGCGAAGCGACAGTCCGACAGGACGGGTGTGTGACGCAAGGGCCACGGACATCCAGGAAGGCCAAGCGGAGCAGCCCAACAGACCCCAAGAGGCCCCCGCCACGTCCCGAAAAGGCCCCAGGGGGGCGCCAAAAATGCCTCCCAGCGACCCCTGGTGGGCCTCCCAAAGAAGCCTCTTGTCCAAGATCCAGTCGGTGCGCCGCGGGAGGTAGGGGGAAGCAGACAGACCTCCTCCTCCTCCTCCTCCTCCTCCTCCTCCTCCTCCTGCTCCTCTCCTCCTCCTCTCCTCCTCCTCCTCCTCCTCCTCCTCCTCCTCCTCCTCCTCCTCTCCTCCTTCCTCCTTCCTCCTCCCTCCCCTCCTCCTCCCTCCTCCTCCCTCCTCCTCCCTCCTCCTCCTCCTCCTCCTCCTCTCCTCCTCTCCTCCTCCTCCTCCTCCTCCTCATCCTCCTCCTCCTCCTCCTCCTCCTCCTCCTCCTCCTCTCCTCCTCCTCCTCCTCCTCCTCCTCCTCCTCCTCCTCCTCCTCCTCCTCCTCCTCCTCCTCCTCGTCGACCACAACACCCAGACAAACGGCAATGGCGAGAAAAGATGGGCCGGCGGAATGAGCGAAGCGATTCAACAAAACAGATCCCCCCTGTTCGTTTGCGTGCCACTCTATATCTATGCCCACACAGCCGTCCACTCCGGCCGTCTTCGTCTTCGATGACGCCTCCGCGGGGGGAGCTCAGTTTCCTTGCGGACTGGGCGACGCTAGACAGGCAGGCGGGCGGCTGAACCCACAAGAGCGGTCGGGTCGGATCGAGCGAACCTCAGGTCGGGCGGTCGGACCAGGGCGGGCCCTCTCTCTCGGGCGGGCCCTGCCGGGTGGGCCGGGAGGGCAGGCCCTCCTCGGGCGGGCCGGGCGGGCGGCAGCTGGAAGCGGCCGGGGCTCGAGGGCCCGCGCACGGGCGGGCCCCATCAGGCAGGTCGGGCGAGAGCACCCTGGCGGGTCGGGCCGGGCGGGTGGACGCTGACGGGCGGGTCGGGCGGGCGGGCCATGCCGGGCGCAGCGGGCGGGCGGGGCATCAGTGCGCGGGCGGGCGGGCTTCCTCGGCGAGCGGGCGGACCCCAACGGCCGTGTCGAGCGGGCGGCCCCTGATGGGCGGGCAGGGAGGGCGGAACCTAACCAGCGGGTCGGGCAGTCACGCGGGCGCCGAGGAAGTCCCAGGCGAGAGCTTGATCCCTGCCTCCGTCGGCGTCCCCTGAGTTCCAACGTCTGAACAGTTCCGTGGTGGGCCTTCAAGCGCGAGTCCCGGACAGGCGCAAGTTAGAGTGCGATAGCCCTGCGGAGATCTCTTTGCTTCTGCGACGTCCCGGGTGATCACATCGGGCTTGCGAGAGGCAATTTAAACCTGGCTCGCTGACACAACGAAGATGCAGCGCAATTGCACGACCGCTCTGCCCGCGTGTACCCACCTTCCAAGGGCAAGAGAGAAGAACACCCAGCCTTGTATCAAGCACCAATCGACGTTGTCGCTCACCATTATGGTCGCAGAGTTGCTCGGCCGCCACAGTGGAGCCTGTTCCTGAGGGAGATGAGAGGGACCACAATGGATAAAGGGAGCAGCGCAGAGCCAGCTTCGCGCGCAAGGGAGCGAGTGCGGGGGGGGGGGGGAGATGGATAGTGACGGAGGAGGACGAGGAGGAGGAGGAGGATGAGAAGGAGGAGAGGAGAAGGGAAACGACGAATAGAAACATCAGGAGGAGGAGGAGAATAAGCAGGAGGAGGAGGAGGAGGAGGAGGAGGAGGAGGAGTGAGAGGCGGAGAAGGAGAAAGAGGAGCGGGAGCGGGGGGGGAGGACGGCAAGGATGGGGTAGGCGGAGGCGGGAGGGAAACGCAAAGGAGCGGAGGGAAGAGGGGGAGGAGAAGAGCAGAAGAGAAGCAGGGAGGGGGACAATGCGGGTCCTCGACGACGACGACCACGACCACGACCACGACCACGGCGAAGACGACGATGACACCCAAGACAGCCACCACGACGGCGAAGACGACCACAACAACGACCAAGACGATCTCAGAGACGACGACGACCACATTGAAGACGCCGCCTTCGCCGCGGCTGCCGCCGACGACGACGACGACGCGTCCGCCCATCCTCCCGAAACTGCGGAACCCCCATACAGTTCTAGAAATCAGATTTCCACTATGTCCGAAACAATGCGAAAGCCTGAAACAAAAATATTCGAACCCTCTTGGCCCCCGTGCCACCCCATACGAACTCTTGGAAGCCTTCTGGAAAAGGCCTATCAACACTTCGGACATCTCCGAAAACCGCAAAAAAACGGCGACGAGGACGACGACGAGGTGGCGAAGGCCGCAACGATCACAACAACGACGAAAAGCACGACGACGGCAGCCACGTCGGCGATGTCCACGACCACGACCGAGATGACGACGACGAAGACGACCACGATGGCGACGAGGGCCGCCAGGACGACAACGACGACCACGTCCGCGACCACGACCACGACCATGACGACGGCCACCACCTCTGCCACGAAGACTACGCAGAGCACGAAGATGACGCCGACGACGGCGACGGCGGTGACGGCGAGGGCGGCGGCGGCCGCTCCGCCGGCGCCAGGAAGACGGGCGGCAGGCCGAGCCGCCGAAGCGTGGTGGCGGCCTGCTCCAGCCAGAGGACCGGCGCCTGCGGCCGCTGGGGCTCCTGGGGCGGACGGCGGCGGTGGCGGCGTCGCTGGCGGCGGCGGCGGCGTCAAAGACGACGATGACGCCGCTGGCAGCGGCGGCAGCGGCGCCGGCGGCGGCGACGGCGGCGACGGCGACGGCGGCGCCGACGATGCCGACGAGGGAGGGGACAGCGGCGGCAATGACGGCGACGCTGGCGGCGGCAACGGCGACGACGACAGCGGCGACGGCGACGTCGCCGTCGGTTCGGAGTCTTTCGTTGGCTTCTTGGGGCGTCCCTTGGGGAGCTCTCGCTGCTCCGGCCTGGCGCGGCTCGGGAGACCGACCACGAGGGGCCCAAGGACGGATCAATTCTGAGCGGATTCTGGACGGGACGACGGCGGCAGCGGTGGCGGCGACGGCGGCGACAGCGGCGACGGCAGCTGCAACGGCAGCGGCGACGGGGACAACGGCGACGCCAGAAGGCGGGCGCGAGCGTCCGCCGGGGCTCCTCGCCGAAGAACCATGCGACCGTCGCCACCGTCGTCGTCGCTCGAGGCTCGAAGATGTTTGTGGCCTCTGGAATCCCGACAACCATGCTTTGGCATGATTCAGGGTCTTCAAGCGCCTGTCTTCCAACGAAGCAATTCCCTCAGTGGAAATGAACCCTTGCAGGGGCCTATGTGGAGGGAGCTTGGAGGGAGGGTTTATTCCAACACCGTTGATGACTCTTGGTTTACACTGGTCCTCCTCCTCCTCCTCCTCTTCCTTTTCCTCCCTCCCTCCTCCTCCTCCTCCTCCTCCTCCTCCTCCTCCTCCTCCTCCCCTCCCTCCTCTCCTCCTCCTCCCTCCTCCTCTCCTCCTCCTCCTCCTCCTCCTCCTCCTCCTCCTCCTCCTCCTCCTCCTCCTCTGCTTCGGCGGGGGCGTCTCGCCACCCTCCTGCGCCCCCGCGCAGCCGCAGCACCACCGCGCCAGCTGCGCGGAGGCCTCCGCGGCCTCCGCCAGGCGGCGCAGGCGGGCCTACGGGCGGGCGGAGGGGGGCCTGGGCGGGTGCCGGGCCTCGCCGCCGTCGGCGGCGAGGAGGCATGCCGTGGGGAGGAGGGGCAGGCGCAGGGAGCAGCAGGAAGGGGGGGGGGCGCCGGCCCAGTTCTCGCTGCCGGCGGCGACGACGGCGAGGCCGGCGGCAGGAAGGACGGGAGGAGGAGGAGGGGGAGGAGGAGGAGGAGGAGGAGGAGGAGGAGGAGAGGAGGAGAAGAAGGACGACGACGACGACGAGTTGGGGGGCCACCCCGTTGGCCTCGCCGTCGCCGGCGTCGGCGGCGACGACGGATCTCCCCCAGGCGACCCAGAAATAGCGCATGCCATTCCACCTCGATCTGTGGGCGGGCCCCTCTTGTCCGCGCTGTCATCGCGGATCGATCCCGACTGCCCCAGGGCCCCGAGACGAGCCCCGGCAGAGGCCTCGAGCAAGACTTGTCGTTCGATCCCTCCTCCTCCACCTCCACCTCCACCTCCTCCTCCACCTCCACCTCATCCTCATCCTCCTCCTCCTCCTTCTCCTCCTCCTCCTTCTCCTCCTCCTCCACATCCACCTCCTCCTCCTCCTTCCCTGCTCCTCCTCCTCCTCCTCCTGCTCTGTCTCACTGCCACCCTCTCTCCCTCACTCCTCCTCCCCCTCCTCCTCCTTCTCCTGCCCCTTCCCCTCCCCTCCTCTTCCTCGTTGTCCCATCTCACCGGCGCATGAAGCAATTGTAGGTGGCGGGCCGGCGGACCACCCCCTCAGAGTCTCAATCAGTGGCGAAGCGTCCTGGCTCGCCTACAGTATAGGCCTACCAAAGAGTGTTATAAGAACCTTTTGTGGTCTGCACGAGATGTTCTTAGAACATGTCTGGCCGGGGCTGTCTTGCTTTAACGCATCGGGCTTATCTTAAAAGAACACTCTTTTTGTTCTTAGAACATAGTTGGGTTCTAAGAACATGTCGTGGTAGGCCTATAGGAATGCTGGGACGGTCGGTTCCTGCTCAAGAGTCCTAAGTGGCATCAAGAGGCGTCGAGTAGATGCACTGTCATGGGAGACTTCTCGGGACTTGCTTGTTTGCTTCCCCCCATCCTTCCTCCTCGTCATTCTCCTTCCTCCAGCCCTCCGTCGAAAGCCAACACCCAGACCTCTCCCGGAGGGCGTCCTGGTCAGCACCTCGCGAAAGAAGCCCAGCCGTGACGGCACGAGACTTCCCAGAGGGCTTCCGGCCGCGCGAGAAGCCCAAAAGAACCGGCCACGACCTCGATCTCGACCTCGACCTCGACGACGACAACGACAACGAGGACGAGGACGAGGACGACGACGACGACGACGACGACGACGACGACGACGACGACGACGACGACGACGAGGACGACGACCTCGACGAACCCTGGGCAACGGCGCGTCCTGGGCAATGCCAAGGTCATCACTGGGGGGCAGAACTCCTAAATTCGCCAAAGAAGCCCAGAGCCTTCTAGATCCTCGCCCCTCCTCCACCTCGGTCCTCGATCTCCAAGAAAAGAGGTGGTGACCCCCTCTGGGCCGGCGGCGGGCGGCGCCCTGCTGTAAAGTTGGCGACCGTGTAATGCCGTCCTCTCGATGCGACCCCGAACTGGTCGAGCGCAAAACGAACGGCACACCGCCGCCCAGGCAGCAGTCAGGAGGGCGAGGGAGGGGAGGAACGGACGGGGAGTAGGAGGAGGAGGAGGAGGAGGAGGAGGAGGAGGAGGAGGAGGACAAGGGGTGGGGGAGGAAGAGGGGGGGGGGGGGAAAAGGGGAGGGGCGGAGGGTGAGGAGGGGGATGGGGGGAGGGGGAGGAGGCGGGGGGAGGAGGGGAAGGAGGGGAGGAGGAGGAGGAGGAGGAGGAGGGAGGAGGGAGGAGAGGAGGAGGAGGAGGAGCAGCAGCAGCAGCAGCAGCAGCAGGCGGAAGATGCTTGAGCCCCCCCCTCTCGCGGCGGGCCCTCGCGGGCGGAGCGGCGCCCCACCGCCCTTCCCCTGCGATGCTCCCGGCCACCCCTCCATCGGCCTGACGCCGCGCCGGGCAACACCTCGGCGTCTCGCCGCGGCCAGGGACGTCGCCGCCGCCGCCGCCGCCGTCGTCGTCGTCGTCGCCGCCGTCGTCGTCGTCGTCGTCGTCGTCGTCGTCGTCGCCGTCGTCGTCGCCGTCGTCGTCGTCGTCGTCGTCGAGGTCGAGGTCGAGATCGAGGTCGTGGTCGGTTCTTCTGGGCTGTTCCTTGTGGGCGTGTCGATGGGTCGGGCTCCCAGTTGGGCCCTCCTGGGGCCGCGCCTGGGGCTGGGTCGAGGGCGGGCACGCTGCGGGCGTGTGGCCTCACGGAGGCCGACCTTCCCATCGGTGGCGGAGCCTCGGCGCACGCCTCCGCGCAGAGGGCGTGGCGGAGGAGGCGTCGGACGGTTCAGCCTCCGAGGCGTCCGATTTGAGGCCGAGCAGGGCTAACTTGACCGCCTGAAGGGTTCTGTCTCATCTCATCTCATCTCATCTCATCTCATCTCATCATATCACATCACATCACCTCCTCCTCCCCCTTCTACGTCTCCCTTCTCTCGCTAAAGAATGGACGTTGTGCTCCAAGAGACAGCGACGTGAGTTCGAACTTGAACTCCCAACTGTTGCTATGCGCTACGCCGTCCAGGCGGACGAAACTCCAGAACTGAAAAGGACGACCTCCTCCTCCTCTTCCTCCCTCCCTCCCTCCCTCCCTCCCTCCCTCCCTCTCCTCCTCCTCCTCCTCCTCCTCCTCCTCCTCCTCCTCCCTCCTCCTCCTCCTCCTCCTCCTCCCTCCTCCTCCTCCTCCTCTCCTCCTCTCCTCCTCCTCCTCCTCCTCCCTCCTCCTCCTCCTCCCTCCTCCTGCCTCCTCCTCCTCCTCCTCCTCCTCCTCCTCCTCCTCTCTCCTCCTCCTCCTCCTCCTCCTCCTCCTCCTCCTCCCTCCTCCTCCTCCTCCTCCTCCTCCTCCTCCTCCTCCTCCTCCTCCTCCCCTCCTCCCTCCTCCTCCTCCCCCCCCCTCCTCCTCTCCTTCTCCTCCCCCTCTTCCTCACGCAAAATATGTACCCCCCACCTTGCTCTCAAAGATGTGGCTGGAAGCCCCCGAGGGGCCTCTGGGCCTCGCCGGGGGTGCTCCTGCGGCCACCGGGGCCTCACCCCTGGGCGCACGGGCCCCGGCTGCCGTCGCCCTCGTCCTCGCCGCCCTCGTCGTCCTCGTCCCTCGCCCTCGTCGCCACCACCGCCGCCGCCGCCATCGTCGTCGTCCTCTGCGTCGTCCGAGCCGTCGTCGTCCTCGCCGTCCTCGTCGTCCTCGTCGACGTCCTCGCCCTCGTCCTCGTCGCCCTCCCCCTCGGAGAGCACGGGCGGCGCCGAGGCCCGCGCCGGTCCAGGAGCCCGGAGCCGGGCGGGGCGTCCACGAAGAACTGGGGCGCCACACCGGCTTCCCTCAGACGCCGCCTCGGCGCGGACCGCGTCGCCGCCGCCGTCGCCGCAGGCGCTGGGGCTGTCGCCGCCGTCGTCCGCCGTCGCCGTCGTCGACGCGTCGCCGCCGCCGTCGCCGCAGGCGCTGGGGCTGTCGCCGCCGTCGTCCGACGTCGCCGTCGTCGACTCGGAGGCAGCTTCAGGGCGGGCATGCCCTCCTGCAGGGGACTGTTGGACGGAAATTGGAAAAATCACCCAAAGACGCATTCAAACATAATCAACAATAGTGAAAAAAACGTCCCCCTGACTATGTTTGACTATGTTTGAATATTCCACTCCTTATGTAGAGGGACGCGCCCGACTTAAAGGTAGCTGGGCGTCTCTGGAAGTTCTCGTCGCCACGGCTGCACGCGGCTCGAGAAGACGCGGCTGGGATGGAGCCCTGGCGATGATGTCCGGGGACCGAGTCTTGCCGAACGCTTTGCCAGGTGATCTGGCACATGTGAAATGATACTCCCGAGGTCCTCGTTTTGAAGAGACAGCGTCCCGCGCCCCTCCCACCTCCTCCTCCCCCTCCGCCCTTTTGAAGAGTCAGCGTCCCGCGTCCCTCCCACCTCCTCCTCCCCCTCCACCCTCCTCCCATCCCTTGCACCCCTCACAGGTTTCTCGTGGCCCCATAGGGTGCTCCGCCACAGGCCCCAGTGGCAGGGTCCGCATGCAGTTCCACACCCATTTCGGCGCACCCCTCACACGTCTCGTGGCCCCATCGGGAGCTCCGCCGAAGGCCTCAGTGGCAGGGTCCGCATGCAATTCCACACCAATTTCGGCGCACCCCTCACACGCTTCGTGGCCTCATAGGGAGCTCCGCCGAAGGCCCAAGTGGCAGGGTCCGCATGCCCCCAGGGGTCCGCATACAGCTCAATCTCCGTTTCGGCGCACCCCTCACACGCTTCGTGGCTCCATAGGGTGGTGCTCCACCGAAAGCCCCAGTGGCAGGGTCCGCATGCAATTCCCCTTCAATTTCGGCGCACCTCTCCACCAACGGCCCCAGTGGCTGCGTTCGCATGCGCCGGCAGCACCCATTTTGGCACACCCCTCAACGTCTCATGGCCCAACAGATAGCTCCACCGACGGCCCCTGTGGCTGCGTTCGCACTCGCCCACCGCGCACATGTTGACACACCCCTTACACGCTTCGTGTCCGTGTCCCCATAGGGAGCTCCTCCGAACGCGGTGCATACAACAACAGTATGCGCAACTGCACATAGTTGGGTGATTCGCCAGATTAGTTTTCCATGAGCTCTCTGAGCTTACTCAAGTTGTTTGGGGCATCCCAATTCGATCACCATTCTGGCTCAACATGGCTATGCCCGCTAAGCTAGAATTTCCCCAGGGCATGCGCGCTGGCCCTGTTGCACACGCTCTCTCCAAGCGCCTTGAGTTAGATGTAATAGCTGCGGTCGCTAACTATGTCAGAAACAAGAACCATGAGGCGGCGGCAGCAGCGGCATGGGGCATGTGCAAACGATTCCCCCCGCGGGGCGCTACCAAGCATTCTCCACCGCATCAGGCACTCGCT